GCCCCCTCACAATTCTGCGTATTTTAGTTTTGCCCACCAAAAGAATAAAATTATCGGTACATTAAAATTCAATTTAATTTTTTCTGCCAACCCTGACGAGCAGCGGCGTGCGGTGGGCGGGTGGCCCGGCTGAGCGTGGCTGAGCGTGGCTGAGCGCGGCTGAGCGCGGCGCTCGGGGCGTACCTGGTCCACGGCGGAGGTGTGCAGGCGCGGCTTGACGCGGCGGGTGTGCGCCGGCTCCTGCTGGATCGAGTTGCTGCCCGTGGAGGCCGCGTTCCTGAAGCTGTTCTTGCGGGGCGCCTGCTGGTAGCGCCTGCCGCCGGGCTGCTGCTGGGCCTCCTGCTGCTCCGAGGAGCCGGGGCCCGTGGGTCTGGGCCTGCTCGCGCCGCCGGGCCGCGGGGCGGGGCTGCGCAAAGGGAGGAGGTCACAAACATGTCGTGCGGTCCGTGCGGTTGGTTATCGAACCCCGATGCTGTTGATGCGACAACCTCGGTCGTGGGGCTCCTCCCCTCCGCCGCCCGAGGTTAACGGTGGCGGCGGGTGCCTCCCCGCCGGTGGTGCACGGAAAAAAATGGATTAGCTGCCAGAGCTAAGAAATTAGTTAATTTAGTGACAGCCAACAAATTTGCTGTGGCAGCTAAGAATCAGTTCCCACAGCTAAAAGTTAGCTGTTACAGCAAAGCTGATGCTGCCGCAGCGAACCCGTTAGTTTTGGCACCCTATGGGGTGTTTAGCTGCCAGACAAAACGGGTTGGCTACTGCAGCAACAGCTTCTCTGTAGCAGCTAACTCTTGGCTCTGGCAGGTAATTGTTAGCTGCCACAGCTAATTCCGAGTTGGCTGTCACCAAATCAACTAATCTCTTAGCTCTGACGACAAATCTTTTTTTTCCGTGTGGTAGTGGCGGAGTGCACCCTGCTCCACCCCAAACAACCCTCCGTGCGTGGGAGGGGAGGGGAGGGGGGGTGGTCCGCGGGAATTTAGTGGAATTCCCGGCCCAGCGCCTGGCTCATGAGACTCTGTGTGTGTGTGTGTGTATCGGTGGGTGCGCCATGTATCGTAGGAGGAGGCTCATAATTACAGGATGGGGGACTCGACTCGTGCACTGTTAAAAGTCTGCAAAGCATTGCTTCGCAGGCCTGCAAAGAAAACTGAGTCTTCGCAATTACAAAGCATTCCTTTGTAATTGCGAAGC